CACCTACCTGGATGTATTGCGATTTCTGCACTTCGGCGAGTCCCATCTCGATCTCATCCAGGGGGCCGATGTCCGTCGCGATGCGGTCGATGAACGCGTCATCGGGCACCTTTTCGTACACGGACTGGCTCTGCTGGTGGAACGACACGCGACCAGTCAACGACGTCAGGCTCTTGGCTGCATCCATCACATCACACCCATACAATACATCCACACAGCGCATGGATGGCGGGCCCTCGGTGTCGGTCCTCTGATTGGTTGTATACCTGAGGGTGTGTCTTTGAGGAATTCCGCCACTTGGTCAAGCCGCACCTCATGCGAGCAGCCGATGTCCTCCTGCAATACACACAGGGCATGGATGCACATATGTGACCTCACGAATGCGTCCCCCCTTCCTCCCTCTGCCACGCACCTCGTCAGATATGAGATGCAGCGATTTGATGCCTGCCTCAGCCTGACTGGCCCATTGGCGGCCCATACATGGCGAGGTCGACCAGACCGAGATCCTTGAGCACTGGGAGCTGGTACTCGCGGTCCTCTGCGATCTTGACCCACACACTGCGGATGCTCGCCGACTCCAAACGCTCAAACACGATCGGCCCCTGATTGATTGATTGATAGACGGGACACACAGCGTGTGTGGGATGTCTTTGTCCGTGCTTTGTCCACCTCTCCCCTCCCCTCCTCACCTTCTTGTGTGGCAGTCTGATGCGGCTGAAGTTGCCCTTCCTGTTGCGGTTGTCGCGCTCGAAGGCCGCCAGGGCGCGGTAGTCGGGAAGGTCCTTGCCCTTCTTGTCGGTCGGCGGCTCGTAGGGGCACTGCAGGTCCACACTCTCAACCTTGGCCGAGAGGCTCTCCAGCAGATACACCAGCGACGGCGTGGGGCGGTGGTAGATGTTGATGCTCACACACTCAGACAAACGACGACCTGCATCAAGACACCACACACACATGAATGTGACAAAGGTACCCATCCAGTCATTCCCTCCTCTCTCTCCTTCCTTGCTCACCTATCCATTTCTTAGCGATGTTCATGGTGGGCGATGCATCGAGGTCGACTATGGGGTGCATGCTGGGCTGCTGGGTGAGGCAGCGGAAGTAGCTGTTGACGCTCGACAGCGACTCCATGCACGACACGAAACCGACCAAGGCGCCCAAACCCGCACCACCACTCATCCACAGAACCTCAGGCAACTCCTCCAGATGAGACTTGATCTGACATTCAATCAATCACGCCGCAGCACATGAAGTGAGTGATGATGTTACCCTCTCCTTGTGCCTGGTCGCATACCTCCTCAGCTTCGTCTTGGTCGATTTCGTTGATTTTGTGTTGGATGGTGTCGAGTTTGGTGATGGTCTCCTTGTGCTGCTTCTTCGCGATGGCTCCGCTGATGTGGGTCTGCATGCCTGCGTCGGTGCACACCATGCTCGACCACACGCGGAACTGACGCTCAACCTCCTGACCAACAACACCACACACCACACACACACACACACACACACAAAGGACATTGGCTGAGGGTGCGTCCGTGTGTGGTGTGTGGCGTGTTGTGTGTGGTGGGTGCACCTTCATGCGATTCTGTTGTGTGTGTGTTTCTGGGGCGGGGAGGGACTGCCGCAACTCCCACACCTCATGCGCCTGCATCAACACACCACACACAGACACGGATTCTTGTTTTCCTTTTTCTGCTGTTTGTTTGTGGTGCTGACGCGTTTGGCGGCTTCCTCGACGCGTGTGAGCTGAGCCTGTAGTCGCTCAGCCACCCACTCGAAGACCTTCAAGTCAGCCTTGGGATCCAACGCATCATCAATGTCCTGCATCCCACACACACGTAAGGCACAGAACCACACCGAAAATGGCTGAACCATCCATGGTTGCACCCCTCTGCTTCCCTCATCCATTTGTACCTCCATCTGATGGCCCTCGTCCGTCGCTTGAGCCTTAGATCTGCCGCCCTTCTTCTTGGGCTTGGCCTTGCCGGCAGCGGCAGCCGCCTTGTCCTTCTTGTCCACCCGCTGCTTCTTCTTGCCAGCGGCTTTGGTGGTGCGGCGGCCCCTCTCCTCCCACTCTGATCCATCCTCCTCCTCGCCGTCACTGCTCACGTCCACATCCATCGCCGGCTTGCGCTTCTGACCCGCACCTGCTGCTGCGAGGGCGGCCTGACGGGCCGTCATGCGATGCTCAACCTTCTCTGAATCCATCATCGAGGAGGATGTGGTTGCACGGTGATGGCGCCGAACGAGCAGAGAACAGCGCGCGGACTTTGGCCAAACCTGTAAACGGAACGGTCGAGAAGTCGAGAAAAAGGAGACGGGGGCTCTCCCTGCATCCCACAAATGATAATTATCGCGTCATCAGTGTCTGTGCACAGGCAGACAGCATTAGCAGTAGCGATAGCATCGACAACAGCAGCAAAAAGCAGCAGCCCAGCAGCAGCACCAGCGGTTTCGTCCCAGCAGTCCCGTGTTCCGCATCAGGGAGAGGAGGAGGCCACCGCAATGGCGAGCGCCCCATCAGGGCCACCCCAGCCACCGGCCATCCTCCGGCTGAAGAACAGGGATGATATCGAGCTGCCCGTAGTCCTCGGCAGCGGCACAAGGGCCACAGTCATGGCCGGCCTCGTCGATGGGGAGTGGACGGCGTTCAAGATAGCCGCGCCGCAGGAGGGGAGCCAGCAGGTCTCACGCTCCATCTGCAGGGAGATGGAGGCCGAGAGAGTGACCATGGAGAGGCTGCAGCAGCGGCAGAGGGAGAGGAACGAGAGGGGCTCTTCCTCAACCTCTACGACCATGCTGGCCCCTCAGACGGCGCGACCTTCCGCGCCAGCCCATCCGCCCCACCACAGCAGTGCGTGTACCTCGCCGAGGAGGTCATCAAAACCCCCCATGCGCCAAGACATATGTGTCCTTATCCGATCTGCTACGGAAGGAAGGACACAACCTGGCGGCCATCTCGGCAGCCCACCCGCCCACACAGCCGGCCGACCAGAAGGCCATGGGGATAATTGATAAGTTGTTGACGACGGTGAGGGCGCTGCCTGAGGGAGTGAGGGGGCATCGGAGGGCACTCGACGACTACGACACCGTGCTCCTCGACCACTGCGTGAACAACATCTACCTGCGTAGGACCGCCATGGGTAAGGCTATCATGCAGACAGACCATCACAGAGGCAGAGAAAGGGGGATGACTGCGCTTTGGCTTGTGTATTGTGTGTGGTTCTTTGTCTGCCTGCCTCAGGTGGCGGCGTATCTGACCTGCCCGGTGTGCTGTTCATCGACCACGGCAACACGCTCCACGCTCGCCAACCCGGCCCCCTACTGTGCCGCAGCGACGGCACCATCCCCCCACCCTTATACCCCCAGAAGGCGGCTCTCGCCCCGCTTTCTCCGGCCACGGTGGAACAGGAACAGCAGCTGCCTGTCAACACGCAGTTCTGCGGGTCGCCAGAGCAGTCGCTCCACTGGTACCGCCGGAACCACCTCGCCGACGAGTGGATAAGGTGGGTGGGCGCCTTTTGGACTCTTCACCACTGAGGGGTGGGAGGTACGGGGGGCAGACGGCCAGGTGTCTCGCTGGGGTCGTTAAAATCGTTGCCTACATTTTATATTCGACAGAGTCATATCTCTACGGTATCGCAGCACACCACCTTGCCCAAGAGATCACTTGAAGGGGTGGCGACTATGGAGCACAACAACCCAGCAGCCGAGGCCATCTGGATGGGGGAGAGGACGGTGGTATTTAACTATGCCGTCACCATCCACAACGTGCTGCGGTCGGAGAGGTGGCAGCAGTCCCTCGAGCGGCTCGAGGCGTGGGCTGACAAGTCCTACATCAAGGCCGACGACGGCGCCACTGAGCACAAGAAACAGTGACAAGAAGGTCTTGGCCAAGGGCCCCGGCTTCTATTGGAATATGCAGGACGCGCTGACGAGCCTCAGCTGGCGCGACACCTTCCACCGCATCTCTCAGCCAAGTGGCCATCCCAAGATGGAGGACGGAAGGCGGCTCCTCCACGACCGCACCAAGGAGGAGGGGCTGTGGTGGCTCGGAGACGTCATCCGCCGTCTGGAAGCCATCTGCGCGGCGGCACTGCAGTTCCTCCCCTCCAAACGGTGCACACTGGGCGACATGGAAGCCCTCCTGTCAGCCACCATCGACGACCTGGAAGGCGCCAAGGCCAGCATCGAGGCCGGCATTCCGCCTGCGGCGAGCCCAACCGCCGCGCCCTCGCTGCCATCCACAGCTGCGTCGCCCGACCAACCCCTCGCAGCGCCGTCCCCATCTGAGGCGGCGTCCTCCACGTATCTAGACGGGCACACGATGACCGGATATGGGAGGGAGAGAGGCCACACAGAACTGGTCTGGGTGCCTGTCTGTCTGCCTTTGGCTTTAATGTGAGGATATTGCTGTCTGCATTTTATATTCGACGGAGACATAACCTGATGGAGAGGCGGCAGTTCCCAGTGCCCCAAGTGCCCCGCGAAGGCTGCTCAAAAGGCTGCTCTACATCCTTCTGGGGCTTGGCCTCTCAATATTGGCCATCTGCGTATATGTGTCCGTCACGGAGAGCAAGAAGCCAGAGGCCGTCAAGCCCGCCGTGGCGCCCACCTTCGCCATGTTCGCCCGCCACTCTCAATACTGTCGAGAGGAAATGCAAGTATGACAGACAGGGTGGATGGATGGATGGATGGTGGGTGGATATGGGTGTGGATGTGTTGCCTTTCCTTCCTTCGATGTCCATGCAGACGGAATAGCGAGGCCGGCAAGGAATTCTGCAGATACTGCACGCAGCAACAGCTGGTATGTGTCCACCACTCACGACCGAAGCGCCCGCTCATCTCATTCATGTGACGTACGTGTCCTTCCCCTTTGTGTGTGTCCTTCATGCAGGACCAGCAGCACGCCCAATACCTGGCCGAGCTCGACAAGCGGGACCGACAAATCCAGTAAGAAGACATGTCGACATGATATAACATTGTGTTCTCAATTCTCTATTTCCTCGTGAACCGCAATTACTCGTTCAGGAATTACAAACCCATGGCGAGCGGCCCTGCGAGATGATGGAGCGACTCCACCAGATGGAGATCGCCCTGCTCCATCTGGTGGAGTCCCCATCTGTGGTGTGTTGGAGAGGGGGAAGGGGAGGGGGAGGGCGAGTGTGTGTGAGCGACATTTTCATCGTTGCCTACGTTTTATATTTGCCAAAGGTGAGTCATTTATACAACCGTTTGACTGAATCTGCTGACCCACAGTGCGTCTTTATGTCGTCAGCCGTGTCGACACAACTAACTGTTCATCCACGCATCCATCGCATCCAGCATCAATCCAGCCAATGTGCATAGACAAAACCACCGACTCTCCACCTAAAATGGTCCGTTCACTTCCTTCTCCTTTTGTCGCCGGGTGGTCCCTCGTCGGCAATGACGCCGCACTTGACCATCAGCTCTCGCGCCGCGTTGTTGATGTGCTTGAAGCGATCCGGGCCTACACGCACATTTTAGTGTAGATGCGGCCGTGTGAGTGTGTGTGTGTGTGTGTGCGTATTTCTACACCGACCTAGGTGGATGCCTCCGTACCACCGTGAGACGACCACCATGATGTTGGACGTGTTGACGATAGACTGAGCGACAAGACACGCCGCACATCCATACAGACAGACCTCTCCAGCGATGTGTGCGCTGCAATCGGATTGGATACAGGTGTGGGTGTCTGAGGGCAGCTAATCGTCCTCGGATGGCTCTCGTGACTGCCTGGGCTCGCTCATTCACCCCAGATGCCATTGCAGATCTGTCTCCCGCAGAACACACAGAACTCTGCTGTCTTCAAGATGACCCTCAGCAAAGCAGCCAGTCCGCCCACACACAGGCACGCCACACAGACTGTCTCTGCACGTACCACCTATGTCATCACGTCAGGTGACGGCAGCCGCTGTATGGTGTCGACACGCAGACTAGACGTCCCACTCACACCCCACAAAGAAGAGCACACAGACTGACTCGCCTCTTGCTTGTACAAATAACGTCCACTCTTCCACCTACTGCCTCGTCAGGCTACATTCCCTCTTCGTGTTCGGCTTCTGGATCCTCAGCGGCATGCCGTGGGTGACGAGTCCGCTCAGCGCGAGCAGCAGGAGCACTCGTTGTGTCAGGCTGATGCTCCTGGTCTGACACAGACAGACACAATAGACCGTCGGCTAAGACCGACAGACACACAGACACACACACACACAGACAGACAGACAGGCAGACATTTGTGCACATACACATATACATACCCATCAGTCCCAATGTATCCGACTCGCTGTGTGTACTCTCCTTCTGCCACGATAACCTTACCAGCAGCAGTTTCACGGTAGCCTTAGGGTCGTAACCCTGCACAAGAAACCCTGGGCTTTCTCCGGAGGTAACTCGTCTCCGCTCCAAGTGATGTCGCTCAACGTGATGTCTTGCCTGTGGAGGGAACGGCCGGCGGACGAGCTGAGCGAGGCCGCTGGCCTGTGCGAGGTCATGCACGAGGGCGCCGCGTGCTTTGGGAAGGGACTTATGCTCAAGACCAACAAGAACCACCTGTTCATCATAACAGCGGCACACGTCGCAGTCGGCGCCACAGGCGCCAGGATGGTCATCGACAACCAGGAGCACACGGTGCAGGTGGCGGCGGCTTTCATCCACAAGAACTACATCGTCAGCGGCCATCCTGATCTTGCCATCCTGAGGGCGCAGGACAACGCCCCTCTTTGTGCCGCCCTTCCTGCCAAGCGACTCGTTATCGCCCGGAACATCGACATCCGCCACCAGCTGTCTTCCGTCGACCGTCATCGTTTTTTCAAGGGCGACGTGACGGAGGTCTCGTTCGAAAGGCCACTGGATGTGACGGCTGGGGCGGCTTCGGCGGCGCGCGGTGCGGGCCAGGAATCCGAGTGCATGTGGATGCGGCTGTCCGGCATTACTTCAATGCCGGGGGACTCCGGCAGCCCCATGGTGACCACGGCTGAGACGTCGTGGCACCACACCGAAGGTCTTCTAGGTGGTCTTCTGCACGGTGTGTCGCCACAGACCTCCAAGAAGAAACGGCAGACGGGCAGCACCACTGACTCTTCCACGGCACCAGCTCTGCACCCAATCTTGTACGTCACGCCCCTCGGCAGCCTCGAGCAGCCCAAGAAGCATTTTGTCAGCATCCCTGTCCCTTCGTCCCCTGCGGCTAGGGATTCCGACTTGTATGCTGTTGTCGAGCTCCTCGAGATGATGCCGCCCACCTTTTCCGCCAAGCAGAAGCCTTTGATGACCGTGGCCGACTACAAAAACAATACGCCCCGACAGCAGAAGCCGCCCTCTCTCCCTCAGCATCTCACTCACCCTCATCCCCGCCGCCTCCCTCGCCCTCACCCCCGGCCGCGGACAAGCCTCCCTCGCCCTCACCCCCGGCCGCGGACAAGGGAGTGCTGGATGCCATCGCTCAGCTGGACGCTAAGATAGACGCTAAGATAGATGGGCTCGGCAAGAAGATCGACAGCACTCGGCTCGAGCTGGCCACACAGATCAGCAGCATGAGGGGATATGAGGTGGTCGAGGGACCGCCGGCGGAAGCTTTCAACAGCCTTCGACAGAGGCTGACGAAGGTCTTCAAGACCACTGAGGAAGAGCTGGACGCGATGACTGTCGAGAAGGTCTTCATCAAGCTGTTGGAAGAGGCCGACAAGAATCCCTTTCCCGACCTCGCTGAGGTACACACGCACGCACACGTGCATACAGACACACGGAAGCCTCATACCGAGGTGCCACGCATTGTGTTTTGGTTTGTTGTGTCTTGTCGTGCATGTGTAGGGTGAGCAGTTGCCTCTGGCGTTCAGGACTGTCGTGCGCATGCCCGTACCCCAGATGCGGCGCGTGGGCTGATGGTGCGACTGATGGTAGGATGGATTTCGTCTGTCGTCTCGCCACACACACGTACATTCACACGTGTGTGATGTGCATGTGTGTGTGGATGTTTGTGGTGGGCCAGATGAGGAGCTTGATCAAGAGGACGGAGAGGACTCGAGTGAAGACGACGGAGAGCCAGAGGAGGAGGGGAACGAACAGCACAAAGACAGCCCTGATCACGCAGCGGCTCAGGCGCCAGGCTGTGGTGCCGCGGCTGTACATGAGTGTGTTGTCGTGTGAGGACTGAATATGTGTATCGGTGGAGGTATTTGTTTTCTATTTCTGTGGTGGTGGTCCACACGCTGGGAGAGCTGGCATATATGTACAATGTGAATCTATAACCTCACACACACTTGAGCACACCCACTCACGACCACCCCATTGCAAACACACCCCAGGCACGAACCCCACCGAGAGTGAAAAGAAAAGGCCCTCAATCGCTCTCGATCGCTCTACCAGAGCCCCCTCAGCAAAGCCCCCTCCACACCCTACTTCACACCATCTGTGCGGTTGCCCCCTGCAGCAGCGCGCTCAGTCGAGCCCACCGCGCTCGATCTCGTCAGAAACGACAGCAACTGGCACACACACATACATACAGACAGACCACACAAGCTGGGGGTCACATGTGAGCTTGAGGTCTTGTGGTCTTCTCGGGCCTCACACTTTTTGGCGTTTTTGTATCTGGCTGTGTGTTGGTTTTGGGTTGCCTTGACGGATTCGAGCTGGAGGATGCGCCGGATCACAGCGTTGGCCTTGCTGGAGTGCGGGCCCGGGGGCTGGACAAACCTTACGAACAACGAATAACACAAATTGCGCACGTGTGTGTGCAGATAGATACCTGACTAGTTTTTGCACTTTGTCGATGGCGAAGTCCACATTGACGTGCAGCTTCTCCTTCTAGACGAAGCGGTTGGCTCCGCATGGTGAGACTCAGCCACCTGACAGGTGGCACACACAGGGCCACAGACAGACAGACAGACAATGCTGGCTGTATGCATCCCCTCCTCTCTCCCCATTTCTCAGCTCACCGTCAGGTTCTGTGTGTCGTCTAGAGGTCCGATGACAGTGGGCAGGTAGATGTGCTCAGCCTGTGTGGGGGTGGGGGGGGTTGGCCTGCCGCCGGTGCTGCCTCAGTGTGTCCAAGTCGAAGGGGAGGTTGGCCATCTCGGAAACGCCCATGCGGATGGGGTCCAAGGCCTCACGGACAGCCGAACGCTGAATGAATCAGCCAATGTATCAATCAATCAATCGATCAACAGCACACACACACACACACAAACACGACCGTTCGTGGGCATGTTTCTATGTCAAAGAGCGTGCGATTGGCTCCTCTCTCTCACCAGTGAGTCGGTCGCACGAGGGGTGACAGAGAGGGGAGGGATAAACGTTGACAGCAATGCGGGAATCGCCCGGCGATACACAAACTCCGTATTGGCACACGCACACCAACACGCGCAACCATCCATCCATCCACCCCAGTCAGTCTGTCTGTCTGTCTTTGTGTCTGTCTTTGTGTCTGCCTGCCTGCCTGCCTGTGTTTGAGGGTGCGGGTTGATTCGTATATGACGGTATCGGCGACCTTCTGGCGGTATCTGTCGGCCGTCTGGGGGCTGACGGCAGCCAGCACACCTGCACACAAACGCAGCCAGGAGGCCGACCACCAACAGATACATACACACACACGTGCTGCGGTGGCGTGTGCATCACATTTCCTTCCTTCACGCGTACGTGTGCGAATGCAGCGGTGCGCTCAGCCGAGACGTCCGCCTTTGTGTCGGCCACAAGTCGTCAAGCCGTCGCTGTCGTCAACTTTTCGCTATGGGTAAAGACCTCGGGTTGATCTTCGGAAGAGAGGGCGTGATGGACAGAGGGCGTGGTCGCGCCTTCTTTGGGGGCTCTGAAGGCGCGATCACTCCCTCGACCACTCCTCCTGCATGCGTGTCTCATCAGCCGTGTCGACACAACTAACTAACTGTTCATCCACGCATCCATCGCATCCAGCATCAATCCAGCCAATGTGCATAGACAAAACCACCGACTCTCCACCTAAAATGGTCCGTTCACTTCCTTCTCCTTTTGTCGCCGGGTGGTCCCTCGTCGGCAATGACGCCGCACTTGACCATCAGCTCTCGCGCCGCGTTGTTGATGTGCTTGAAGCGATCCGGGCCTACACGCACATTTTAGTGTAGATGCGGCCGTGTGAGTGTGTGTGTGTGTGTGCGTATTTCTACACCGACCTAGGTGGATGCCTCCGTACCACCGTGAGACGACCACCATGATGTTGGACGTGTTGACGATAGACTGAGCGACAAGACACGCCGCACATCCATACAGACAGACCTCTCCAGCGATGTGTGCGCTGCAATTGGATTGGATACCGACCAGCAGGTGCTGCAGCCTTCCCCCAGCAGCCGACTCGCCTGAGAAAGGCCAATAGACAAACACATTTTAGTGCACGGATGGTCGAAGAAGATACAGATACTCATGATATACACACCGTCACTGTCGTGGTCACTCAGCTGGTGGCCCTGAGCGGTCTGCGACAGGCAGATAGACACATACGTGGATATGACACATACAGTGTGTGCAGCCAGCCCCTCCAATCCATGATGCCACACATGGATACCCACCTACCTACCTGTATCCTATACGCCATTATGTTGTGGGTGGCCCTGGCGATCTGCACACACAGGGACAGACTTTCAGCGTCCGCAAGGACACGCACATCCATATCATTGCACTTGTGTGTACTTTCTGGTTCCGCATCAAAGCCCGCTGCACCGCCTGAACGTCCCTGGAGAGAGAGAGACACACAGACGCGCACTTCACTGTCTCTGCCTGCAGTGTGTGTGTGTCTGTGTAAGTGTGTGTGTCGTTCATCTCTCGCACGCACCTTGTGTCGTGCACTCTGGCCAAGTGCGCCTGGAAGACCGATTTGCGGTCAATGATGGGGTCGCCTGGACGGCACAGACATGTCTGCATCTGCTCATGAGACCGCTGCTGATGGTCGCATCTACCGTGCACTATGTCGATCTCGCACTGCTCGTCATCTGGCGGCTCCCTGCACCTGCACACACGTATCCCTCCCCTTCATATGTGTGTGTGTGTGTGTGGCAAGATGATGCTTACGTCGTCGCTTGTGTTGGTGCTTGCGGCTCTTCTGGCTCGTGCGTGGCTGCTGGCTGCTCCTCCTGTTGTCCACTGCAATGCATCAATCCACCACATAGATGCGGATGGTGCGAAAGCATCACGAACGAACTGCTGGCACACAAGGATGCGTATACGTACCTCGTCTCCTCCTGCTGCTGCAGCACTTGCACCGGGATGACCGATCTGCACACACACGCACACACGCAGCTGCGGTACACGTGTGTTGACGCGTGCAAACATACACATGATGACCGAATGTGTTCGACCGTCTGATAGACGATCACACTCTCCCCCTCCCTCGACCACTCCTCCTGCATGAAGCAACACGCCTGCACACACACACACACAGACGAATGGACGCACTCAGCTCCGTGTATGCTATGCGTGTGACCACACCTGACCTGTCCATTGAGGTCGTCCATTTCGTACTCCTCAAGCCAGTACGCATCAACCTGCACACAATTAATGCACACAATGCAATGCACACAATGCACACAGGGGCCCTGTGAATGACTGTCTGTCTTGTTGGCGCGTGCCCGTGTAGCCAGCCGCACCTCGCAGACGTCCAGACATGCGCGTGGATAGGCCTCGGGGATCAGAAAGGCGGCCGTGAAGGAATGGCAATCGTTGGCTGCGGCACACACACAAACGAATGCATTAATGCGTCGAAGAGAAAGATGCTCGTGTCTGTGTGTGGCTCGCCCATGTGCACCGTGTGGAGCGGTTGTGATCCTCAGCAGACGGTCAGCGGGATCCCACGCCTGCATCACATCAGAAGTGCAGCACAGATCTGTCCCGTCAGTCAATGGCCGCCAACCACAACGCATTAACTCACCACATTCTCCTCGCCATATATGGCCTTCAGCGCTTCAACCTCTGAACACACACAGGGGATGCCGTGTGTGTTTGCTCATCGATTCATTCATCATCTGTCCAATGGATTGGTACCTTCTGCCGCTTCCATCTGTGAGCAGACTGCCAGCCTTTGCTCACGGGGGGGGAGGGATAACACGAAGGAGCAGGGTAGATCTGCTGCGAGCTGAAATGAAAGGTCCCGATCCGGCTTCCAAAGAGGCATTCGGCAAAGAGGAGGGCAACCATTGGGCAAGTTCATCCGTCATTGGGTCCAGTTCATCGATCTCACTCATCGCCGATGAGTCCCTTTGTCGTTCAGGCGTTGCTGACTACCACGCTGCTGTCGGCATCCAATGCCGCGCTGGCCTTCCTTGGCCATCACCGACACACCCACTTCTATGCCCCGATGGCGTTCCGGAGGAATCAGCTGCGGTTGGGACGACGGGCGGCTGAGAGGTCGGACGGTGAATGGAGGCCCTCTACGAGGACGAGCTGAGGAGGCAACGCGACGCCTTGTTGGCTGAGAGGGATGAATGGAAGCGGCTGTATCAGCAAGCAGTGGAGCGAAAGGAGGAGACCGTCCCGAGTCGCCGGGGCCCGAATTCCGCTGCCTCCCGTTCCTGCGTCTTCGGATGCGTTGGGTGTGACCGACGAGCAGTATGAGGCTCTTTGTGGCTGGGTCGACAACAAACCACTGCGGCTCATCTACAGGTACACACGAGGATTGATAGTGGTGTGTGTGATTGCTGGCTGCTGACGGTGCCTGCTGTCTGTCTGTCATGCAGTGCCTCGTGTGATGGCTGTCGATCTGACGACCTGTTTCGCCGCGTGGGCGACGCGAGCCCTCTGGTGTTCATCATCCGCAAAGAGCAGTCTGTCTTCGGCCTCTATATGGATGCCAGCATCAAGCCGGCCCTTCAACCCACCTGGGGGAGCGCCTACGACTGCTGGGTGTGGTGGTTCTCGTTGGCCGGCCACTTCGCCAAGCCGACCAAGATCAAGATACTGAGAACCATAAGAGAATGGAACGAGGAAGACCGCGGTAGCGGCTGGGAGAACGTGACAGTGACAGTGGCTGGTAGAGGGGAGCGAGATGGCGGGTGTCTCGAATGGCGGTCAAATGACCAGGTGGGGGAAGCGGCTGGCTTTATTTGGGGGTGGATGAGATGCGATATTCGGGAGATGATGACAGACCCGGCGAGGATGACCTGCGTCGCTGTCGTCAATTTTTCCTGAGAGGTGAAGACCCCCGTTTAACCTTCCTGGAAGGGTATCAAGGCGTGATGGGGGCTGGCTTTGGGGGGCCCCGCGCCTGCTTCGGGGCTGGCTTTGGGGGCTATGATAGGTTCGTGGCTGACGATGTGGCTGTTCTGACTGTATAATAGTGTGCTGGCTGGCTTTCTGATGTACCATATATGTCAAACGACCAGTGTTCGTGTACAGTGTCTGTGCGCATGATGGACACTGAACAGTTAAGGCCTACAAGCACGAACTTTCAACACCTGTTCAAATGCACGGGAGAAGCAACAAAGGCGAACGCATTACTAGTTCTCAGTCGCGTGGACACTGATTCGCACATACCACACTCAAGGCGGATGGCCGAGCGACACAAGAAAAGTAGTACAAGAGGCCACAAATCGACACACACGGCATACGATATAGCAAAGGCATTTCGGCTTCCAATGTCACGCCCGCCCTCCTCCCGGCGTGACAACTGGCGTACCCTGACTGCAAGCGGTAAGCACACACGACACCACACACATGCGGGTGCACGTCACTTTGTTGTGGTTTGTGCACAGCCATGGCGCCCACTCACCCGTCCTTCGCTGCACTGGGGGAGGGCGGCACAGGAAGAGAAGTGTTACTGAGGGGAGACACAGAAGACACATAGGCACGTGTATGTATCTGCTCATTGTGAAGATACGTACTCCGACTTCTCCTTCTGCTGTTGTTCTGCTTGCAGCTCCGGCGCACTTGGCTCCACCATTCCGCTTGCCGGAGCTGCCAAGTTCGGCACTGACCGAGCGACAAGAAGAGGGAGGGATATATAGGTCCACAGAGCACAGAGACATGTACCGAAACCCCCCACCCGCGCACCTTTCTGTGCTTGCGGCTCCTTGGGAGTGTGGCTTTGGAACCAACGCGAAAGAGGATTGAACGATCGCTCCGTGGACGGCTTACTGACGCAAAATGGACACTTTGTCCACGTGTGTGTCCGTGTGTGTGTCTGTGCGTGTAGTTGTGTGGGTAGAGTACCCCCCCTTCTTTTCGAAGTAGTAGAAGTAGACGGCAGTTGAGACAATCGCGGCGAAGGCAAGCACGGAGAAGGTGGCCACTGCCGACACATGCATGAATACAGACAGACGTGCACTCAAGGGTGAGGTCTCTGTGTGTGGCGTGGGCAGTTGGCGTTATATGTGTACCCAAGGCGACAATGATTACGGGGGTCTTCTTGCTCTTCTTGCGGCCTTTGACTTGCCGGCCCTCGAGCTGCACAGACGCATCGAGACAGGGACAGACACAATCGTGCACATTCACTTGTTTGTGCGCATCCGTACTTCTGTCTTTGCCAGGAAGTCGGGGTCGAGCTGCGACGCCACACTCTCGGGCAGCAACTCTATCCCTGCATCCATACGTGCATACTTCTTCGTATGCGTCTACGTGAATGCAGACCGTTGGTTGGTACCTGACGCGCCGCTGGCTATGTTGGCTTCGCTCAGCAGCCTACTGCCCGTCGTCCTGTAGATGGGCTGCATCGATTGATGACATAAATGCATCCATCCGTCCATCCATCCATCAATGTCACACAGCAGCCTACCGCCTGGTCGAGGTCGACGTCATAAATGCGTATGGGACTATCGGGCGACTGCAGCTGCTGCATCCAACTGAAGACAGACACATGAGGGCACTCATACCATGCATGAGACACACTCACAGGTGTCTGTCTGTGTGCCCACTTGAGAGTCAAGTCCCCTTCGTCCTCAACTGTGGCTGAGTGGACTCTGTGCGCAGACAGAGAGGGTCATGAGTTCAGACACAACGACTTGAGTGCTGACGGGCTGCGTCGCCTGCCTGAATTTCATGTTGACGGAGCCGAGGTTGATGTCGACGATCAGCACATTTTCCTCCGAAACGTTCAGCGTCTGTGCCACGACTGTCAAGGGACACACCCGTGGGCGCCAGTTGTGTGTGTATTCATGTGTGGGTGTGGGTGTGCGGGTGCACCATTTCTGAGTTCGGCGAGGCTGGCCGTGTTGTTGACCAGCTCTTGCAGCTCCTGTGTGCAAGGAGATGCATTGATGCATCATTGGTATGCCCGGCATTTTCTGTGTATTAACCTGTTCACCTGGTAGGTGAAGTTCTTCGTCATGATGATTTCCTCTGCCTGCATTTATGCATTGCGATCAATGCACACGTGCACGTGTGAGTGGACTGGGTGCGTACGTCTGTGTCGTTGACGTCGAATGCTTTGATGGTCACTTGTAGCACGTCCAGATCCACATCGTCTGCACAGACGCATGGGGATCGCGTGTGAATGCATCACGCATCGAGCGTGCCGCATTGTGCCCTTGCCGAGGTCGATGGGCGGCTGAGTGGGTGTCGGCGGCCGCGGGGCGAGGAAGTCGCCATCGGAGGGCTTCTCTGCCTCTACACACACACACACACACACACACACATGCATACGTGTGAGTCTCTTTTGCGCGAAAGAGGACACACAGGGGTAGTGTGTACCTGCTGGTACGTAAACAGGATACTGCTTCCTTGTATCAGTGTAGTCGAGGGCCGTCTCTGAGAACAGAAAGAGCAACCCACACACATCCATGTGGGGGGCCTTCTTGCGACGCCTAATGGCAATGCTGACTCATCATGACGGCGAATCTAGGGTCGGTGGGCAGCAGAATCCTGTCGATGAAGTGGACAGTCGTGTCTTTGTTGACGCGTACGTTGGCCTTGACGATCCGTGCGCTGGTATATCCGTAGTACGGATGGCCCAGAGACACGAACACGGGAGTCTTCAGCGACCGATATATGCCCTGCACACACACGTTTCTTTGTCCGCAGAGAGAGACACTGTACATGTGTGTCTTTGAATGTGCCAGGATACATCGTATTGCTCGGCTTGTCGGCAATTGGGGCATGACAGCTTGTGCTTCTGCGTGAGTTTGGAGTAGATATGCAGCTCCTGGCTGTCGTACGCGTATCCACTGGCCAGCTGCAGAGTGTGTTTCTCGTCCTTGATCTTCGCGGGGTCGATTCGCGAGAGAACAAAGTGGTGAGACAAAATCTGTGGACACCCGAGCAGACACGTGTGGGTGTGCCTGTAGGCATTCGCATTCGCAGCTGCATTGTTTGTGTACTGACCACGTGCAGGATCTCCTGGTAGTACGGGACGATGTGTGGGTAGGCATTTGCAAAGTCCTCCCACCTGAGTTTGACATCAACGGGTGTGTCTCTGTCTCTCGCTCGAGGCCTCAACGTAGTGTGTGTCTCACGCCTCATTCGTCGGCACAAACAGCTGCACAACCACTCACACACACGCATGTGCGCGTGTAGAGGTCCATGTGTGTGCAGGTCTGCGTACCGTCCTGCCTTTCTTTTCTGCCTGTGTGTCGATGTACTCCCTGAGCTTGGACACGTCCACAAACCTCATGTACTCGACGAACACCGACACCTCCTGAGCACATGACAATCAAGAGGTGTCTCTCTCTCCCTCTCTCTCTTTCTCTGTATGTGTGTGCCAGCTACGTCGTATTTGGGGTCCTGCCACCACTCCGGCAGCCTCTTGCCGATCCTGCTGTGGCAGTTTTTGGGGCCGGTGATCGCGGATTTTGCCTTCCTACGGGGGTACCCCTGCCACCGCGTGACATCAGCCACAGACACCGGTGTGGCGATGCACATGCTGCAGATGGATGGAACGTGCGTACGTGCCTTAGTTTCCGTAAAAAGACGGCACTCTTTGTCGGCCCAGTAGTAGGTGAAGTGCTCGCACTTTTCGTCCTCCCAACACAATGCCTGGGCAAAGACAAGACAATGGACAGACAGTGGGCAGAGACACAGGCCGGCGGATGAGTGGGTGCGTGCCTGGCACTTGTATACGGTGGCAACGTCGGACTCATCGCGATAATACGTATACTGCTGCCCATCGCCTGCTCGGCGAGTCTATGTGTGTCTATGTTTGTTTGGTGGATATATGCGTGTGTCGTTCTTACTGTCGAGTGACAGCCTGCATTCGTCATCACAGTCGACGATCTCATAGCCGTCGTCAAAACAAGAGGGCAGGTGACCTGCACGCCCACGTTCGTCGGTCCAGCTGTCAGCGTGTGTCTCGGGCTAATGAACTGACTTACTCCATTCATAGCACTGCTCCTCGTCCACACAGGGGTCCTTCCACAGCATGCACTTGGCAGATTCCAGCTGAATGACACACAAACAAGGTACTCATGTGGAGACACACATGTATGTATGTGTATACCCCTCCGATGCATCTGGCGTTGACGTCCTTGCAGCAGTGGGTGTCTCCGCAGTCGCCGTACAGCTCCCCACACTCACAGGCACGCTTGCCCGTGACGCTTTTTTCTGTATCGTCTTTGTATGTCCACAGGGGCATGTTGCGGTAGCCGTACTCCTCGTCCAGTGTGGAGAGTGTGTAAAGTTTGCATATCTGTACGAGAGAGAGTCAAGGGACACGTGTGTTCTTAGTATTTGTCTTGTTCTACCCTCTCGGCGTCGTCTCCTTCGCCCAAATACAGGTTGAAGTAGTGGCAACTGGCCTTTTTCTGGCACTTGGACTGACACCTGCGCTCATGCGTGTCGCACTCCATCTGTCGCCAATGTATGTGCTTACTGGAGTATTTCGCCCTTGTCAATGGTCTTCTTTTCTTCACTCTCTTTCCAGTCATTCTCTTTCGCCTGCACGGCGTGATTGATGCACGTATCGATCAGACACACACACAAACGAAGGGCTGCCCTGCCGCGCACCTCCTTATGGGTCCACTTGATCGCCTCGACAAATCTGCCGCCCTTTGTCGATCCCAAGTACACACAGCCCTCGTCAAAATCTGCCCACGCCCACACACACGCATGACGCAAACCTATGTCTGAATGGCATTGTGAGGGAGGATATACGTATACCATCGATTTTGAACAAGACATCTGGTTCGGTGGGCACGTCTGGCTCTGGCTCGATGTCGGACGGGAGGTCCGGCTCGTACACGGGGGAGGGGGCAGCAGTGGTTGTGACCGGCTCCACTGCTGGCGGGACCTTACCTGTGCAGAAATGCGTGTCGGCTTCTGTGTACAAGTGCGTCGCTCTTCTTGTGGGACTGTATGGGTGGGCACTGCGTGCGTCGCACCTGGCAGTTCGCAGTCTCTGTGTGTCGTGTACGCCCCTGTGTACTTTTTCCTGCATGTAACACGCCGATGCAGGAATGGCACGGAAAACACACAGATGCATCTCCGTGTGTCCATGAATGTGTGTGGGTACAATGTGGACCGTCTGGTGTATTTGCCATTCTCTTGGCCCTCCATCTCGGTATACAGATGGCAGTTGCTCCTCCGGATTGACAGTACCTGCGCATGTGTCATGTCGTGTCATGTGGGAATCCGGCAACAAGAATGTATCCGTGTGGATGCATTCGTGCACACACCAGTGAGAGTTTGATTGTGTCATCCGCCGAGAGGATTTGGTCCTCCTCATCACCCTCCTGTGCAACATACATACATACATACAAGAGTACGTGTCTCGCCTGTATACAAACGGACAGATATGCGTGTGCCATGACATGCTCACCGCTCGAGTGCTTGTTGTGTTGAGCAGGGGCACCAGCACGGTCTCGCCCACCTGCCACTCACACACCCATACACATTCGTGTGTGTGGGGGCATGGATGGGCGTCTGTCTGGTGTGGTTATGTTGGGTTGCGGCACTGGCCGACATGTCGTGTGGTGTGGTGTGGCCACTTCTACACTGGCACCGACCTCCGTAGCGTAAGGGTAGAAGTATGTCTCGTTGATGCAGTAGAGAACGGGGAAGGGCGGATCCCGGTTCTCTCTATCCTGCGTGCATATGATGGCCTCACGTGTCTCTGTCTACGTCCCTACGGTGTTACCTCTATGTACTCGGTGATGTTCTCTCCGAATTGCTGGAGGTATGTCCGAATGTCGTCCGCATCGAAGGGCTCCTGGACATACGAACGAAAATCATACATTCCGAAAGCCTCCCACACAATGCATCATCCGTGACGTCCACTACCCTTTTGTCGATGTCTTCGGCTTCTGGGATGATGATCACCTGCACAAACAAACATTGGTTTCAGACGGGAGTGGATAGCACACGTGTGTGTGTGTTTGTGTGTGTGTGTGTACCGTCTTGTCGAGTTTTGGCAGCAAGACGATGACAATCGCGTCGTCATCTGGACGCATCGAGCAAGGTTGTCCCCGCACACCCAGGCATCTCAGGAGACTGGGTGTGGCGTACCTGGGTCCCGGTCGGGAAGTATCTTTTGGAAAATCTTCCTAAAGGCAGCGAGACCGATCTTGGGCAGCCTGAGACACAAACAACGCACGTATACAACACACAGGGACAGACGTCTGGCTGGCTGCCTTAAACCTCACTTGGACTTCCCATCCCTATCGAAGATGTCCAAATGGAGAAAGGAATCCTGAACGGGGAGAGAGAGAGACAGCCCGCTGGTCTACATGGTCGCCTGCTCTCTCCGTCCATGATCTACGTGCCTCCGGTAAGGTTTGTAAGGCCCTCCTGGCAGCTGCCTCGCTCTCATACTCAGACTCATAATCTTGCTCAACGCCGCCCTGGATCTCCTGTGTTTTTGCAGGACACACAGACCGATATATGGCGGATAAAGAGGGGTTGGCTCACGTTGATGATAGGAACGATGACCGCCTGGTTGGCGCAGCTGATGATGGGAAAGGAGTAGGGGATCCCCTGGCTGTGGGTGGAGGATATGCCAGCCATGCACACAGATGTCCATACGACGCACTGCGCTCGCCCGTACTTACGCGAGTATGTCCTGGTCGACGAGTGGGTATCTCCTCTTCTTGTCGAGGTAGGTGACGTACTTGCAGGTGGGCGACTTGAAGCACAGGGCCTGCATAAGAACACGCATATGTGTGTACGTGTCAGAAAGGCGTGCGTGTGTGTGTCGTGCACACCTGGCATTCCTCCACGGAGGACGCATTTAGCAAACTGCATGGATGGATGAGACTCTTGAACCACCCATGATGACATATTCGGAATGAATGTCAACTTACGCGGCGGGTGGGTTGTATGCGATCATGTGTGCGGGTGTGTGGTTGACCGACTTCCACACTATCGCCTCGTCATTCTTCAGGCAGTCTATCTCTGCACACACGTATGGAAGCACACACAGACGGAGAGTCCCTGCATCCCATGTTCTTTCTATGTGGCATCCACCCACCGACCTTCCAAGGCTCTCATCCGCCGCTTTCTCTCCCTTCTGCTCACTGTACACACATTCGCTTGTTGTACAGACTCTCACTCACTAGAGCGTGTGCTTGTACGTGTCAGTCTGCGTCGCCGTCGATCGCCGTTATCGTCATCGTCATCGTCATCATCGCCTGCATCCACGCGTGTACACGTACGTGTGTATGTGTGCGCAGTTAGTATGCATGTGTGTTGTTCTTACCTCTGTACTTGTCATCTTTGTACTTGTCATCCTTGTCATCGTCGTAATCTACATTCACACACATACATGAAGAGACGCGATGACATGCACGCAGCAATCGAGCAGCACCGTCTTTGTCCGGGAGTTTCTCGTATATGTCCTTCAAGCGCTTGGCTGTTTCGGCAGAGACACATACATTGGGACGTGCGCTCAGTGCGCAGCGGATCCGTGCGTACCGATGGCGTAGAGGAGGTCAATGATGGTGTACTCCCTCTTCTTGTCGTAGTACCAATCCGGCACATGGTAGCCCTGCCCAGGTAACATGCACACGTATGCAGACGCGCTAGAAAAGGAATACGTCTGATCGTGCAGCCCACCCACTTCGTATTCGTAGTAATCGTGCAGAATATACCCTGTGTGCCGATCCTCGTCGTAATAGTCGCCCTGATTCATCAGGATGAAGACACGATGCATTTATGTTCCTATGTGTCTGATCTCATGAGGTCAGCCACCTTGAACTTGCCGTAAAACCACTGGACGACTGAGTAGCGCTGCTTGATGTAATCGTAGTACTTGTGCACCTTTGTATTTGTTCACACACACCCAGGATGAAGAGACATTGATGCCAAGAGGCGTGGGCAGCCGTTCTCTTACATTGTCATAGTAGCTATACAGATCCTTCTCGCCGGTCCACTTGTCTTTGATCTCTATCAGCACACACACACACACAGAGGGACACACACACACAGTGGGACACACTCGAGTACTATGAGTCGTGTTACTTTCATAGAACTCGACGATCTTGTCGTGCTTTTCCTTGATCCTTTCGTGCTTTTCTACACTCAATGGATCAAGGAAAAGCAGCTGTCCAGTGTATCTCTGTGTCTATCTCACCGCTTATGGCGTCGTAGCAGTCATCGATGTCCTTGTAGTGGTCAATCAGCTTGCTTGAGCTGCGAACATCACAAAGACAGACACACTCCCATGACACGAATGGCATGCCACGTGTGTCTGTCTGTACGTGCCTGTCCGCGGCCGTTTTCCAGAGTTCTTCATACTTGTCGTCCATGTTTCGGTGGGCAGACCTGTGTGTTTCATGGGTGGGCGGATGTGTGTGGGTGTGGTGTAGGTCTGCAGTGGCCTAGTGGCTCACCGGACGCCATCGTATATCTTCCAAATGTTCTCGTAGTAGCGGGCGATGTTGTGGTGGTACCACAGCACCTTGGGACACACACATACATGGAAAAAGTGAGCGACGCAGAAAGGGGCCCCACCCACCGACTTACAGTACCCCACCTCTTCGTATTCCTTCTTCCTCAGTCGGCAGTCCGTGTGTCGGTGGATCCTGCTGATCTGCATGGTTGATCTGTCTGTCCGTCTTTATGTCGGTCTGTCTGTCTGTCTGTGGGCTGGCTGTCTCCTGCCTGACCTGGTGCTTGATGCGATCGTACTCGCGCTGAGGTGAGTGGGTTCGGGTTGCAAAGACAGACAGATGCACACACAGTACACAGAGGATGTGCGTACTGCACTTACTTTGATTCGGTTGAACTCTCTCTTGATGCCTTCGTAGGTGCGCTGCTTGATGCGGTCGCAGATGCGCTGCACACGCAATGTACATGCATTTCTATGTGGGGGGTTTGTCTGCGTCTGTCCGTACCTTGAGCTCGTTGTATTTCCCCTTGATTCTCATTTCTATCTGCAGACAGGAATTTGTGCACGTTCCGGCCCTGCAGCTGCCAGCCTGTGTTGACTTGGCTGTGCTCTCACCCTCCACGGGTATTTGGTGTAGTAGTTCTTGATGGCATCGAACTTCGACTTGATCCTGACAGACAGACAGACAGACATTTATGCAGACATCCATGTAAGTATGAAGTACCTGTCATATTGCCTCTTGATGTCATCAAGATCCCTCTTCATCTGCACACACACACCCACACACACGCACACACATCAAGAGGGATGGGTCGAATGGCATTCGTTTACATCGTCGTATAGCCGTTTGATATGGTCGATCTTGTCCCTGATCTTGCCGTGGTGTTCCCAAACCTGCGGGTGTGTTCGTGTGTGAGAGTGTGTGTGAGTGAGTGTGATTGTGATTGTTCACGGACGTCGTTGCAGGTGAGCGACTCCTCTGGGTCATAATACTCGTCGTCCTCTTCCTTTTCGTCTGCCACACAATGGGCAGCCAGGCAGGCAACACAACAGAGCACACATACATGCGGCAATGCGCGGCTTGTTGTGTTGCTCACCCTTGTCGTCTTCTTTTTCCTTGTCCTCTTCCTAAACCATCGAATCGACATAGTACGCCTGTGCCCTGCCTGCAGTCATACGTGGCATACATACTTTCGGAACAAGGATGATTTCGTCGTCATCATCGCGCTTTTCCTCCTCCTGTTTGCACACACGTCTCGTGTGGACACACTCATGTACGCAGAAACCCGCCAAGGTTCGTGCATATGCATGTGTGTATATATGAGAGCGTGCCTCTTTGTCGTCTGGTTGCTCGGGAGGGTTCTCCATCGTTATCCGCACGATCTTGGTCTTCTTGTACCTACATGCGCATGCGCACAGAGAGAGACACAGCCACGTACATGGAGACACGTGCGTGCGAGTATGGATGGTATGCTGTTCGTTCGGCTCACTCACTTGACTACTTTGTCGCAATCGTACGGCGGCAGGAAGGTGTACCAATGCTGCACGAAGGTGGGCGCAAACGCTTTTGTGCGTGGGTAGGTGCGTGTGAGAGTCCCATATAGGCACCGAGTCGGGATAGTATTCGAGTGGCGTGCACTTGGGCTCCACAGCCAGCACACGGATCGTCAGATCCTTGCCTGTGTGGTTGATTGATTCGTCGACGCACACATACAAGGGCAGCCCTTGATCGGCCATACATGGAGGTCTCTCTCTCTCACTCACCCTTGGCCGCCTCTCTCCCCTGCTGGGCGACTTCCTTCATGGCTTCCTTTGGCTCAATCTCCTCGTAAAAGTCCGGCTGCATACATGGATGTCTGGGTGTATGCTGAGCCGCATGCAAGCGCGTGTGTACCGCCCACCTACCCACCTTGGTCGCTCTGTCTGAGTCCCAGTAGTCCTCCCACTTCTCTTCATACTTGGCATAGCCATCACGGAACCTCTCAGCTGCACACAGACTCCCCCGAGATGCATGTATGTATGTATGTGTATCCGCCCATTCCGTGTCGAAGGTAATCACCCATTTTGTGGAGAAAGAATGGGTAGATTTTGAAGTCGCTGTAGCTCACGAACCAGTGGTACGGGAATTGCTGCAGCAGGGAGACGCGTGATCAGGGAGACATCGGTGAATGAGAGGGGTCATCTGCGCACCTACCTCTTCATTGGTGTTCCTCTTCTCCCAGGGGATGATTTCGAGCATCTTGCCCTTGTACCACTTGTCCACATCTGCAAGCCCCTCCCCCCCCATCATTACTCAGTGCACTGTGGACTCCGTGCACTCCATGCGTTTGTGCATAAGGTGTATACCCCCGTGCATCATTTTCCACTCGATGGCCTTGTTGGTCTTCAACCGAATGTCTGTCAGCTTATCTGCACACACAGAGATGGGTACATCGATATACGCAGGCAGCCCGTGCGTATGTGTGTCGTACCTCCCTGGTAGTACTTCTGCTTCTCCTCGACGTGGTACAACTGCACATACACACACACACACACACACACACATATGCAGCTGATGTAAAAACTCTTTTCCATTCGGGTGCGTGTGCCTGTGTGCGAAGGAAGGTACATAGAGTTTCTTGTCTTGGTCGTCGTAAGCTGTGAAGTACACGGCTCCGGACTTGACCGCCGCCCACTGCACGTGCGAGTAGTCTGCCAGCTGCGAAACGATACAGACACACAACAGAGCAGAAACACATATGTGACCCTACGTGTTCTTCGGCTGCCTGCTTGCCTGGTATATTTTGGCGCCGTCGTACGCGCACAGTTGGTATCCGTCTTTCTCGCCATACTCTACTGACTTGTACTGACGACATACAGACACGTGCGCATATGTATGTGTGTATGTGTATGTGTATGTGCACACGAAGTGAGTACTTACTCTCATGTAGAGGAGGTCCCCGAACTTGAAGAGGAACTCGAACGATTGGATGCTGCCCACCTGTGTGTATGTGTGTGTGTGTGTGTGTGTGTAGAGACAGAGAGACACACACACAAAGGACGTGGCTCTTGTGTCTTGGTGTGCGCATGTGCCTGTGTGGCTGCTCACTTCTCCGATGAGCCTCTTGTTGCCCTCCTTGTCCAGCGAGATAAGCCAGTCGCTCTCTGACACAGTAGTGCAGCATACCACAGAGGCGCACTCATACGTCGTACATGCATTCATTCAGCGTACCAGTGTCGCCTTTGCCGGTTTCCCCAAGCCCCAACGAATGCGCCTGGGAGCAGACAGACAGACAGACAGACTGGTGAACCTGTGGTGCACTTGTGTGTGTGCATCAAGACGTACATACCTTGATGAGCAGTCTGCCGTCGTACTCGACCGTCTCATCGTACTCGAGAGCGAGATGGTAGATCTGTACGCAATACACACGAGTGTATATGCTGATGTGTGCGTGTGTGCGCACCGACCGTGTCGCCGCTGATGAAGGTCACGTCGCTGTCCCCTGCTCAAATCATGTATTTGGACACATAGAGAGAGAGGGAGAGAGTGCACAGCGTCATTACAGGCACATGCGCATGCCGGTACCTTGATATTCGATTTCTGTCTCTTCCACCTCCTCCCCGATGTAAAAGAATATCTTGCCAAGATCCTAAACGTGAATACGGGGTGACTGGTGCAAACGAAGGTACTTACTGGCCGTCCCGCGTGTGGGTGTGTGTGAGTGCCTGCATCGTCTTGTCCTTGGTATTGTACATGCACAGATTGCCGTTAAGGGCACGGAAAAAGAGGACATGCTGCAGAGGGAGGGAAGGAGGGAGGGAGGGAGACATATACGCATCATGGCATGGAGTCCCGAGTGGTGGTTGGTCGGTGGTCGGTGGTTGGGTACCTCACATGCGCCGATGAGTGAGTAGATGTCCACTTCCTTATCCTTGAAGGCCACCCTCTCCCACTCTCTGCACACACACACACACACACACACGCACACACACACACATTGAAATGCATCTGGCTGTGCGCATGTGGGCCGAATTCTCACTCTTTGTCGACGTCGTATCTGTAGAGGGATCTGTGTGCCGTGTATATGGCGACCGATTCCTTGTCGTCGTCTCCCTTGGCCACCACCTTCACAAGCTGCGTATGAACGCACACCCCTCCACGCATATATACTCTTACAATTGGAGCAGTCTTTCGTATGTACCTTTGTGGGCGTCCATTTGGTGGTTTCGTCGAACGAGGTGCACCCAAGTATCTTGCTCTTGTCGCCATCGTATGCCACCATGCAGATGTCTTCGGCGTACCACAGCTCAAAGACGAACCATTCTAAGTCGCCTTTGTGCACAATGACGCCTCTCTCCAGGGGTGTGAGGGGCGGATACCGCACATAGTGCCTGGAGTCGTCTGCATGTTTTCACAAAGAGGCACCCTTCTACGTACAAACACATTTTATACATGTTGTGAGCATACGCACCTCCTCGAGGCACGGGTAGCACAGTCGGCTTGATGATCGCCTGGTCGCCGTACACAGGCGAAAACAAGAAAGAGACAGCTCCACACGTAAAGCCATCATATGCTTTGCTTGTGGGTGTGCGTACGGCGTCAGAGATGCCTCCAGCGTAGTCCCCCTCCTTGCCTTCCTTCTGCAGGACCAGCAGGAGGCTCTTGTCGGTGATGGGCTCCCTACCTGAGTCAACCACATGTGTTTCCTTGTGGCTTGAGTAAGTACATGCTCACCGAGAACGATCATTTTGTCCTTTATGGGGACGCCTTTGGGGTAGATGTATGAAACCGGGACGCCCAAACCTGCACATGTGCCGATCGATGAGTATCCGTGTCTGTCTTTCTCGTGGGCTCGTTTGCGTACCTTCCTCCTGCATGTCGACGAGCTTCCGCACCTGATGCGACTCCGAGTACTCATCTGCACATCGACAACACGTCATCCATTGAACCTTTTGATCCATCCATATGCTTGCCTTCTGTGATCAAGTCCCCTATAGCCTCCTTCTTCTTGTCCTTCTCATCGCTCGACGCCACAAAGCACAGTGACAGCAGCAGGAGGGTGAATAAGTCACAGACGATGGATGGAAACATCCCCATTGTCCATACGAATGCGATATCGTGAACGTTGCTCTTTCGGGAGGGAAGGGAATCCGCGAGGAGCCCCCGTCTCGACGATCGGACATTGGGGGCCCAAGGGCACCCTGGGGGATGCTTCGCGTGGCGCTGTTGGTGCTTTCCATATCGCAATTTGCTCATGGCGGGTACCAGCCATGCGCAAAGAACGACCTCCACATGTTCGAAGCCCGTAAGAACGCACCGCAGATCTCTGCAGGAGCACAACCAGATCTCCCGTGCATTCCACGTGGATGCGTGTATTGGTGTGTGCACAATGATGTGCAGTTGAGTATGGCTTGGAGCAGCTCAACGCCATCCGGCGGTTCTGTGGGTACCTGTCCGTCACGCCCATCTTTGCGGACCAGTTCCACCTCCTGGACGCACAGGCCGACAAGACGGACCTCTTCGTGCAGTACAGGTGGGTGACGATGGATGCGCCTACCTACCCAGGACTCATCGCATCGCATCCATGGGATGAGGTATTTATTGTGTGGCCATTGCAGGATGCATTTGAGGGATGTGGCAACGTCAATGAAGATCACACTGGAGGTCTCAAGACAGGTGCGCCGCAACCTTGCGCGGGCTATCGGATGCACATAGAGGCTGCCTGCGCGTGCGTGTGCCACCCATTTTGTTTGTCAGCGTGCGTCTGTCGAGGACGCGACGATATTCACTCTCGAAAGGTAAGTGGGTGGAGTCCGCTGCTGCAAATGGGTGGAGTCCACCCCAATCACACGCAATGGCTCGTCTGTCTGCAATGGATGGGTGGGGTGGATGTGTGGTGTGTATGTGTGTGTGTGTGGTGGGTGTGCCAGTGTATCACCCGACGCGTGTCTGGTCCCAAGCCCCGCTGCCGACGCCAAACACATCATACCCATCGACCACCCCATCGCCGTACGCATTCAGCCAGCACCCACCTCCATCTGGTTGTTCCTCATGCTGTCTGTGTGTCCGCCTGTCTGTCTGTCTGTCTGTCTGTCTGTTAGCGTGATGCTATCCGTGTGGCGATGCGGCACATACAGACGGTCAGGCGGGAGCAGTGCGGCGACAAAGCACCTGGTGAGCTCAAATGCGTGGAATGCGGTGGGGAGGGGGGGAGGAGGAAGGGCCGGCAAGGTTGTTGATCTTGTCATCGCCGTGTCCCTTCCTGCAGACATTCAGCTGATCCGGACGACCAGCGCCACCATGCAGATTGCACAGGTGTGTCTCTCTGTTGTCGGCCGCACACATGAGTGTGTGCAGACGTGTGTGTGTGGATCGTCTGCAGGGGTACATCGTGCAAATCGCGGTGGAGTTGCGCGAGAGCCAAAACTCGTTCGACCCCACACTCACCTTCCCAGCCGTCGTCGAAGTAAGCGTACACGCACATTTGTGTGCCTGATGTGTGTATGTGCCCGCGTGTGTGTGGTGTGACATACAGGTGTGGTACGTGCCCGACCCCGCCAGCCCCGGGCGGGTGACGACCAAGCCAACAGTGTACACAGACAGGCCGCCATGCCTGCTCAAGGTGAACAAACAATGAAGCCCCCATGCCCCATGAAGCCCCATGCAGATGTGCATCGATGTGCGTATGGCCCTTAGGCGTCGACCTCATTGCGTGTTGCGAAAGACACCACCGCGGCAGCCTTCAATGGTCGCATACGAGCACACATGCACCCATAGAGGCAGGAGTGGACGAGCCTGTACTTGATGTGTGCAGGTCTGCGGTCCAGTGCGCCCCTCCCCTTCCGCGAGCTGAAGCGGCGTCCTCTCACAGTCAACCCCGACTACCTTCCACTTATATTCGACCCAAGGTGCGCACCTCGCTCCAACACACAGATAGAGACACATCAATCGCACACGCCTTCGTGTGGATACGTGCAGGCTGGATCGGACGGTGTGTTTCCCTCCCCGTGGCCCTGGGCGCGAGCAGGGGGGCTGCGGCGCTTCATGGGCATTCGCCGCTACCAGCGTCGCTGCGTACAGGTGCATGCATGCAGTATCGACCACGGTTGGTGTGGGTGGCGTATGTGTCTTTTCGTTTTTGTTTGGTCAGGGAGTGTCTGTGGCTGCTGCAGCAGGGGGAGGCGCCGATGGGGCCGCGCTTCTTCGCCGCTCAGGACCTCATCTCGTGCACATACACGGTGCGTGGGGTAGTGAGTCATTCGCTTATGCATTGTCACATCTGTCTGTGTCATGCACAGCCCGACGGGTGTGCGGGCGGCCGCCCTCTGGTTGGCCTGCGATACATGGCAGAGGAAAAGGTGACTGACCAGACAAACAGATGAGACGGGCTCTCACACGAATGCTGTCTGGGCGTCTGTCTATGTGTGTGCAGGTGCGTCGTGAGTCCTGTGTGTCGTATCTGATGCGCTGCTTCGTCGACACCTCGCCCGAGGCGGCAGACTCGTGGGCTCAGCAGACCTCGCAGAAGTTCGTGCCGCCTCCAGGCTGCCCTGGCAGCGTGACGAGAGAGGACGTGGAAAGGGACCCGTGCGAGTGCCTGCCGAGGTCAGTCGGTGCATGAATCGATCCACGGGTGATAGATATGTGTGTGTGTGTGTGTGTGTGCAGGGAGGCCCACTTGACGTCGCCAGTGGAGTGTGACGCCTTGGAGGGCGACTGCCCGGCGACAGAGATACCCTCCTTCTACCAGTTGAAGGCACGCCAACGCACACTTTCATACCTCCACACGGATCCCTGCCCTTGATGGTTGTACGTGTATGTGTGTTGATGCAGGGGCTGATATCGTTGGGGCTGCCGCACAGCAACACCACCAAGACCGTCAGAGAGCTGGAGGACCAGATCAAGATCGAGCTCTACACATACGGTCCGGTGCTTACGCATCCTTTGCTTTGTGGGGTGTGTATACACACATCCATTGTGGGGTGTGCCGGTTTGATCTCTCAGGTCCCCTGTTAGTGGAATTCACGATGTTCTCCGACTTTTTTGAGCCCACCAGCTGGTCAGAGAGCGGCGTGTACGAGCATCAGAACAAACATGCACTCAACCTGGGAAGACACGCAGCCGCACTCGTGGGCTGGGGTAGGCACGCATCCCCACATATTTGTGTGGATTGCTGTGCTGCACTATTTGATCAACAGGTCGCGATTCCTCTGGTGTTGACTACTGGCTGCTGCTCAACTCCTGGGGAAGGGCCTGGCACGACCAGGGCTACTTCAAGCTCCCCAGAGGGGCCAAGGAACACGGTATGTATGTCAGTGTCTGTCTCGGTGTACTTGTACACTTGTCAACGTGTGTGTGTGAAGGCATATTGCTGTGGAGTGCGTATGGCATTGACTATCACGAGACGCCGCAAGACAAACAGCCGCCCGCCATATACCACATCAAGGTGCGACGCACATACACGCGCATCCACCAGGTTGAATGTACCTGCTGTCGATGCTATGCTGCTGAGGCCTCACACAGACGAGCTACAGTGCCGTGCTGAACGAGCAGAGCACCGTCGCCCCCTCTTTGTCAATTGCTCATCTCAATGTTGTGGTCAGCTGCAGAAGACCGATCCCCCTCTCCCCCCCTCTCCCCTCTCCCCCCAGCAACACACATGGCACACCCCATGTCATGTACGCCTGTAGGTGCGCTTCGAGACCTCCGAGCCCGCGTCGGTGGCCGTGCGCCTCAAGACGCCCAAGGGGCAGATAATCGAGAAGACCGACACATCCAACCAAGACAAGAGACACGCAGTGGCACTCGATATCAAAGGGTAAGGTGGGCACATTTCGCACACGCACACACACCATTGCCACACGTGTGGCTGGATGTGATGTGCATGTGGCATGGGTCATTAGGGCCGGTCTGGAGGGTCTGTCTGGCGAGCTGACGATCACGGCAACCGACCGTAATGGCAACAAGAACACTTTCGGACCCAAGAAGATAAAAGTGAAAAGAACAACACACGTCTCTGTCTCCTCTCGATGGATGTCATGTGATCATCGCTTGTGTGTGTGCAGCTTCCCCGGTCGAGCGACTTTGCCTCTCTCACGCGGGACCCGCTGGCTGCCCCACTTAGCACCGCAGTGCTGCCACTCCCACTCCCACTCATCGCCATGTACGTGTGTACCCTGTTAGTAAACACATGTGCTCAGCGAAAATGTGTGTCTGTGACCGACTGGTGGCTGGCAGGGACGCGCGCACCGACGAGCTGAGCCAGAAGCTGACGGATGGGGATGCCAACAAGTGGACGTACATGCAGGGGAATAGCGACGGTGAGCGAGTGAGACAGACACACACACAGATGGAGAGGAAAGGATTGTGCTGTGTTGCTGGTCGTGGTTCAGCCCCCAACAGCCGCTCTCTGACCGTGTCTCTCTCTGCTGGCGACCCCTCCCACCTGGTGGCCATCCCACACATACAGGGGGAATTCAATCTCCAGCTAAACGCCGGTACTGCACGTGCATCCAGCCAGACAGACAAGGGATCTTCTCTATTGATGTATGTGTATCTCTGGTGGTCATTTCACAGGCATCGCGGCCGGCTCGTCCACAAAGGTGTACGTGTACTATCGCGACGTGCTTGAAGGCGCAGATGACGACACCGACGTCAGCCCGCCCGTCGCACTGCACCTGCGCCACACAGAGGGGCCGCAGGTGATGCATACGAGCACCGATGCCGTGAGCATTGCCACGTCTGTCTGTCTATCTGTGTAATGGATTGATCAGCTCTTCCCGGCCCCGCTGCCCCGCTCTCTCGACGACTTCACCGGAGTGCTGGTGCTCTCTCGCATCCGCCCCAACGCCACCCTCCCACACAGACCCAAAGGTGCAGGTGTGGTGTCTGTGCCGGGTCCCCCTCCCCATGCTCCCAATTCGGTTCACGAGCCGCCCGTGCAACACCAGCAGCATGGACAGACCGCTGGCGCAGCAGGCCACGGAGCCCACCAGCAGCAGCCACACAACGCACAGATACAGCCAAATGTAAGTGAGCGAATCTGCAGGACAGGTATATTCCTCACTCCCTGCGATGGCGTGAATGCAGCTGCCCCCCGCTGTGCATCACGAGCCGCACCCCGAGCCCGCCCCAGCCGGCCGCGAGCCACATATGAGACCACACCCAGAACCACACCCCGAGCCACAGCCACACGGCCAGCCACGTTTCGAGCCAGCAGCCGTACGCAAGAGAGACAGAGATGCACCTCACTCAACATGCAGCTGCATGGTGTCTCTCTGTCTCTGTTGCATCAATGCAATGCAGCATGAGCCTCACCCCGAGCCCCACCCAGAGAGGCCGCGCATCGAGCCCCACGAGCAGCGGCCCCGAGTGCAGCCCCACGAGCACCAGATGCACCATTCGATGGAACACCACCACCCCATGCACACCATGCACCTCGCCGTAGTCATGACAGGGGGAGAGGAAGGAGACCAGCACCAGCACCCACACCTGGCGGAGGTCTCGGGCGTCGTGGACAAGTATAGGTCGGGGGGAGAGAGGGGAGGGGAGGGCGTGACGGTCCGCCTGGTGCTGCGGGACGGCATCATCGAGGGGCCTCCAGTGTCCATACCGATCCCTTTGGTGCCTGCTGACGGTGGTGGTGGCGGTGGCGATGGTGAAGGTGGCCGGCGGTATCCGATGTATTTCCCTGTGGTGCTGTTGGTGGGTCTGATCTCGGTGGGCACTCTGGTGCTGGTGTGGCGGTGGACCGACAAGTTCAAGAAAAACGCGGCGGGCATGCGGCGAGCCGGGGAGAGAGACCAACGTACGTATACATACAGGAGTGCTCAGGGGGACATCTGCATATGCATGTGGGCCATTTCTCTCTCTCTCCTTCTCTCTGCTTGTGGGTTTGGTGTGGGTGTCAGGCTGGAATTGGGGTATTTTCTTCTCTCTGTATTCGTCTTTGTTCTTCAATGGCGGCCACAAGCCCATCCAACCCACACACAACGACGCCGGTTGGGGCAGTGTCTGTGTGGGTGGATGTCTCGGTGTCTCACCCACCACGGCACAACACATACACACGTGCAATCAATCCTTGACAAAGAACGTGTGTGTGTGCGTGTGTGTGTGTGTGGTGGGGCTGCTGGTGCAGACGATGGAGACGAGGACGACTTTGACTACGACAAGCTGTCCATCGAGATGAACAAATGGAGACCCGAATCCGCCGACAACACCGCCAGAGAGAAGGTATGTATGGGACACACACTCGACCCCACCACATAGACACACGTCCGTCCATCAATCCATCCATCCTGTCTCTCTCTCCATGTGTGTGTGTGTCTGTGTGCAGGTGACGGCTCGCGAGGAGCTGGTAGATGAGGACGATGATTCGGAGGACTCCTCTGGCATGTTCATGGTGGAGCGGCCGGTGGATGGGGGGCGGGGAGGGGGAGGGGGCTTGGGCTTCGCGATGACACGGGGGAGCACCGCTAGTGGGGACTAACCATGCCATGGACCGACAGAGGGAGGGAGGGAGGGGAGAGTGTGTGTGTGTGAAGAGGCTGATACCTACCCTTTTTTCTTTTGTTCCTGGTGGCGGCGAAGACTCATACAACATGGATTCCAGTTACACTTACGTACACTTCAGTACACACATTACATTTGGGAGAGTGTTCACTTCCAAAAAGGTGTGCGCGCGTACACAAATCAAATGTGTCTGTCCATCGCTGGCAGGAAAACCGTTCAGATCGCGCCTGTGGTGCACAGGCCATATGTATGCGTAGTAAGAAAAGGACCTCACACACACAGACACACACTCTTGACACCCACGCACATAGGGACAGAAGAGATGGAGATCGGCTCACTCACTCACTGTACACTCAACACCTCCAACTCGTCAGCTACGAAGTCACGAGTCCCCCCCAGCACCGCATAGCCATGCCTCATCTTCCCCGTGTACCCCGCAGGCACATCGTCGGCAGGGAGGAGCTGACTGCCGCCACTGACGTACACGCCGAACACGTAGTTCTCCTTGCAAATGATGAGCACCAGCCGCTACTTGGAGCCGTGCAGAGACGCCCTGCACCACACACAGACAAAGGAATGCATGACTCTGGCATAACAGGAGCATGTGTGTGTGAGTGGCTGTGTACGTGTAGCTGAGTGTCAAAGTGATGTCGCCGCCAGCCACTGTGCGACGTGCGTCACATACGAGAGGCCGATGGAGCTGCCGCCCTTCGCCCATGCACGCGCAGCACTGACAGACACACACATGGAGCACACACACACAGAGAGTGATGTTCTCAGCTTCGTGTGCATGTTGTTGTGTCTGCGTTTCTTTACCGGCAGAATGGGCAGACACCGTCACGAACGCTATGGGGCTGGTGGTCTAACGGGACGACAGACGAAATCCATCCTACCATCAGTCGCACCATCAGCCCACGCGCCGCATCTGTGGTACGGGCATCCGCCCGACATTCCTGAATGCCAAGGGCAGCCGCTCACCCTACACACACAAGAAGACACAACATACCAAAACACAATGCGTGGCACCTCGGTATGAGGCTTCCGTATGTCTGTGTGCACGTGTGAGTGCCTGTGTACCTGAGCGAGGTCGGGAAAGGGATTCTTGTTGGCCTCTTCCAACAGCTTGATGAAGAGCTGTTTGATAGTCATCGCGTCTAAGTCTTCCTCGGTGGTCTCGAAGAGCTTTGTCAGCCTATGTCGAAGGTTCGTGAAAGCTTCCGCCGGCGGTCTCTCGACCACCTCACATCCCCTCATGCTGCTGATCTGTGTGGCCAACTCGAGCCGAGTGCTGTCGATCTTCTTGCCGAGCCCATCTATCTTAGCGTCTATCTTAGCGTCCAGCTGAGCGATGGCATCCAGCACTCCCTTGTCCGCGGCCGGGGGTGAGGGCGAGGGAGGCGGCGGGGGTGAGGGTGAGTGAGATGCTGAGGGAGAGAGGGCGGCTTCTGTTGTCGGGGCGTATCGTGATTTGTAGTCGGCCACGGTCATCAAAGGGTTCTGCTTGGCGGAAAAGGTGGGCGGCATCATCTCGAGGAGCTCGACAGCAGCATACAAGTGGGAATCCCTAGCCGCAGGGGACGAAGGGACAGGGATGCTGACAAAATGCTTCTTGGGCTGCTCGAGGCTGCCGAGGGGCGTGACGTACAAGATCGGGTGCAGAGCTGGTGTCATGGAAGAGTCAGTGGTGCTGCTCATCTGCCGTTTCGTCTTGGAGGTCTGTAGCGACACGCCGTGCAGAAGACCACCTAGAAGACCTTCGGTGTGGTGCCACGACGTCTCAGCCGTGGTCACCATGGGACTGCCGGAGTCCCCCGGCATTGAAGTAATGCCGGACAGCCGCATCCACATGCACTCGGATTCCTGGCCCGCACCGCCCGCCGCCGAAGCCGCCCCAGCCGTCACATCCAGTGGCCTTTCGAACGAGACCTCCGTCACGTCGCCCTTGAAAAAACGATGACGTTCGACAGAAGACAGCTCGTGGCGGATGTCGATGTTCCGGGCGATAACGAGTCGCTTGGCAGGAAGGGCGGCACAAAGAGGGGCGTTGTCCTGCGCCCTCAGGATGGCAAGATCAGGATGGCCGCTGACGATGTAGTTCTTGTGGATGAAAGCCGCCGCCACCTGCACCGTGTGCTCCTGGTTGTCGATGACCATCCTGGCGCCTGTGGCGCCGACTGCGACGTGTGCCGCTGTCATGATGAACAGGTGGTTCTTGTTGGTCTTGAGCATAAGTCCCTTTCCAAAGCACGCGCCCTCGTGCATGACCTCGCACGGGCCAGCGGCCTCGCTCAGCTCGTCCGCCGGCCGTTCCCTCCACAGGCAAGACATCACCCATGGACGATTTCACTTAGAGCGGGAGACGAGTTACACGGGCGAGATAGCTTGCCTCTCATCCCCTCCATTCTCCTGTTTGGCGTGAGAGAGGGCCTCCGAGGAACCGTATCGACCGGTGGAAGATAGCTTTGCGTCCCTTTATCCCGGGGAGGCCTGCAGCAGCAGTCGACGAGTGGCGGAGCGGACGACTTGGAGGCATTTCGGTCGCCAGCAGGACAGGTGAGGGCGGCAGGGTGCGACAGGGAAGGCAGCAGCCCGCATTCCCTCCACAACGAACGTTTCCCTTACGCATGCAGTGCTGGAGCATTCTTGGCGTGTGGTGAGAGCACCGCTCTCGGGGTACTCGGCAGTCTAGAAGAGGGTCGTAGCTCGTGATTCAGAGGCCACGGTGAGGTCCCCATGCATGAAGGCGAGCTGCACGAGTGCGTTCACCGATGGCGACTTTGCAACTCTCTGTGTGTGTGCAGGAGGCCGTGAGTTTGTCGTGAGTGGCGTGGAGCGATGGCGCGTCGGAGCAGCCGTCTGGCGGCTAAAGCTGGCGGCGCGGTGAAGCAGAATGAGAGTCCCAAGGAGGTCAAGGCGCCTGCTCGACGGGGAAGGGGAGCCGCCAAGGTGAGGGAGTGGGCTGCACTGCACCGACGAGAGCCACAGTTATCCTGCATTCTGTGCCTCTAATGCGCCGGATGTGTGGCTGCAGAAGAAAGCTGCCCAGCCCAAGCCCAAGCCGCCCCGTCAGATCGCCAAAGTGAGCATAACACATGGATGGATGGATGGATGCAGAGAGCATCGGTGGACGGCGTGTGTCTGTGTGTGTGTGAATCAGGTTGCCGGCAAGGGTCAGATGGTCGTTGACGACGAACCCGACGAGCCCATGACGCCCATCGTAGACAAAAAGGTGGGCGATCACCTCCACCCTCTCATCCACGTGCGACCACCACTCACTCACTCATGAATGTCTGTGTGTGTGGATGTGTGGATGTGCGTGCAGGTTGGCAAGAAGGCACCGCAGAAGAAGAAGGCCCCGCCCGCACCCAAGAGG